GGGCACCGGAAGCAACATGAAGCGGCGGGGGCAGCCATTTAAAAAGGGCACTTATTCTTGAGCCTTAATTTTTTTTTTGCGGGGGGGCAATGTTCGTTAACATTTTGCTGTATAACGGATACTTCATTACTTGTAGCTAATACAGTTAGACAAATTTCGGCATGGATTGGAACATTTTTATTCGTTGCATGGCACTATTAAAGACTAAAATGTATTGTAAAGCAACATGACAGTTGTCATTTATTTAGGAAGGCTTTCTTTTTCACTTTTTTTCATAGGTGGAAACTGATTGGTAACGTTTCTGAGAGGAATTCAGATTCAAATATGAGTTAAATTGTTTAAAAACAGTTTTCAATCTCAATTCATGTGAAAAACGCACGAAGTTCGAAGTGCAGTTCTGGTAAAAAAGGCCGGCAACCTGCTGCGGCCGTGCTGCCCCCGCACTGTTTAGGCAACGGGGGCAGTTGCCCCCGCTGCCCCCGTGGCTCCGGCGTCTCTGCAGAATGGGGAAATACGGATATTTAATAATAATATAAATAAATGGTCAAATGGAATAGCCCATTGACCAACATGAAGATTTTTACATGTACATATAATTAAATCCAACTTAGTTCTAAAATTATGTTAAAAGTGGTGTTTCAGCTTTTAATTCCCTTTATATAATTTTAAAATGCCATTTTATACTGCCAGAATTTGGCATGCTTTTATCACTGATGGCTTTTATTAATTTATTCATTGTTTTGATTTTTTGTTTTTCCCGCCAAGCAGCCCGCGATGCAATTGGTATGACTACTTTAGAACTTCATGTAGTAATCGAATCAGTGAGACCCACTGATATATCAGTGCAGGTGTGACAGATCTGGTAAAATTTCGTCAATCTGTATTGATTGGCTATTTACTCATTCAAACTTTTAGTTTTTGAACACAGCTAATTAAACAATAGTTGCCCTTTGCAACCTTAAACTCTAAACCTCAAACCTTAAACTCTAAGCGTGCAAAGCATAATGGGAGCATCATTTAATCAGTTTTGTTGAAATCATATATGGGGCAATATGGGGCCCATTTCTTAGAGACATGGCAAATATCTCCTTTCGAGAACAATTCAATCACAAATAGCTGCAATATTCAACTACAGTAAGTTTGAAACTTGTGCTCCCATTTGCCATATCAAGGATAATATTTTGGACATATTTTGTATCTGTTGTTATGTTCATTTCTCTTATTTTTATTAAGAATCAATAACATTCTTTTTAACCGTGGTACTTGGGCCTGCATTGGACGGTCACCTTGTATTAAGCAGTCACATGCGAAACCCCCAATGGTGACCGCTCAACTTAATACAGGTTTGAATGTATGCATGTATGATGTATATCCATGCAATCTCCTAGTCACACATGAACGCCGTGATACCTAAAATATTTCGTTTGTACAAACACTTAGGTAAAGTCATTGAGAAAATCAGTGTAAATTTATTAAAATCTGATCAGTTCTAAAAATATCTGATTTGAAGATCATGATCAAATTAGTATAGAGTCCAGAGTCCTCTTTTATCAGCAGACATTTTTGCAATACGTTAAACTAGACTCGTTCGATCTACAAATTTGCCATATTTTTTATATTATTCGTTAATCAAAGGCTTTTAAAACAAAAACTGTCTGTACCAGTGTTGGTAGTACCAGTGTTGGTAGTACTAACTCGTGACGAAGGGCCTTCGCTCGAAACGTCGAGTTCTGCTTATTTTTTAAGGTAGTAATATAACCACTCAGCACAGCATTTTTAAAACAAATCCTTTTAAATGGTCTGAGTTGTCTCCTAAAGCGGATTAGCAATAATGGCCTAATTAAATTGCCTTATTTTTTATCATGACACTTCATTTGGAAAAAAACTGCATTTTTCCGATATATATAGTCTTGTTTTATCTAAAGTATTTTAAAGTGTTCGGTATTTCTTTCATTTGGCAATAGGATATGAAAGATTGTCTAATAAAGTAATAAAGAGCATTCTCACTATATGGTACCGGCTTCTTCTTCCGCTGTCCACACGTTATGAATAACAGAGATTAAGATATCCAATTGTTTAACTCAAATTTGTGTCATAGTTGTGTCCCTAAATGGTGTTTGAGCAAGTCATTTCGTTTCTTATCAACCGTCTATACCGAGGTGTAAATTACAACAGTACGTTTACAACGTCTTTTGGGCGTCGTTTCCGTGATACACATCTTTATTAAGAATATTAGGGTAATTGTATAAAGTGTGTCTCATTAACTTTTGATAAGCCAGATTAATTGTTCTTAGTTATTCTAATCAGCAGTTAAATTATATCCGCCGTTTGTTATAAAATGCCGCTCTGCGGTTTTACTAAGGCAAGCTGTGTTGTTTTTACAAGTATGTTTAAACCTTTTAACATTTATTTTCATTTCCTATCAAAAATATTTAGTCATTGAAATAACTGGTTAATTATGACCATGGACCACTTTATTCCATCATACAGCAGAAAATTCGCATAACCCGTTCGTGCAATTGTTACAACAGGTTGCACTATCTAAGTCCCCCGTCCGGCCCCAGCATAATTTCAACCGCCGCGTGCGTTTATGCATGTGCCATAAACGTTCAACGTTTGAACTAAACCTAAGTTCGTTTCACGATAAATTGTCAAAAGTTGTTTTTTCAAATTATTCGCAACATTGAACTGGGAGAGCAGGGGTCATCAATAAGTTTGACTTGTCGTCTTGTGATTGTATAAATTTGCAATACTTCCTGAGCCGGTCTCAACCGCCTTGTCGCTTTATCTTTGCCCTGAACATGCATTGATTAATCAAAATTTGGGAAAGTGCGTCTTAGTCTTACAGTAGTCTTATTAAGTTCTATAATTTAATTTAAAACAATTATGGTTAAAAGCCGCCTTTGCACCATTGACTTAAAGCTGATGAACGCGGTGGTGGTAAGATTACGCCTATACCCAAACAGCGATAATAGTACAAATCAATTAAACAATTAATAATTTTATAATGGCACTAATTTAGAAATCAGATATTGTATAAATATTATTATTATTCCACACATAATAATTAAATTTTTAGTTTGATTATACCAACGGGAAATAGCACAGATAAGAAAACATTTGCCAAATCCGGTTTGTCTGTCTTGTGGCGAGGTAAATCCCAGTGATAATTATTACGACTTAATTCGTATTAAGAATATGTTTTCTCGATTGTTTGCATCTGCTACTGGAAATGCGGCAAAAACAATTATCGTAGAAATCAATATATATATGAAACAAGATTATTATAATGTTACTATAACTAAGCACAAGTGGCATTGGATAAAATAAATTAAGTGTCCAAAAGAGCTTCACGACCTCGTTCCAGGCCTTTTTCCGCGCGATTTTGGAATTGCATTTTCCCGCATGGACTGTTACTGTACGGCTGTTTTATGGGCTGTTTGTACAGTTGCCCCAATATAATGGCCTATAGTTTATTGCATGGGATCACTGAGATCTAAAGAGAAACATACTCACTCGCGTGCACGAAATATGGGGATATAACCTTCGTGCACCTACAAACGTGGACACGAGGCCATTGGGGCAAATTAAAAGTGCAATAAACATTAACGTCTACTGTGTTGAAATATGGTTGAAAAAATTGTCAAAATATCGTTCTTATATAGCGAGTTCTTGTATACGTAGCTATGTTAGGCCTGTAGTTTTATACGAGAACTAAATGAAAATACGAACAAAAGCACCAAATTTTATTTGAAAGTCTGGCAGGACTGGGCTTTGGCGAGGAATATGAATGATGATGAGAATGTCAATGAGAATTATCCAATTTTGTCATGCTAATAATAATCAAGTAGGGGCGAGTCCAAGCAATTTGGCAAAATTTCCAAACATTACGAGTATTATTAATCCCTAATTGTACGAGCAAAATCGCATGATTACCTATACTTATTATAATACAGACCGCTTTATTTTGCCATATATGGTACTTATTATACAGCAACTGTTTGATTATGGATATTTGGAATTAAACTTTGCTTTGCTTAGATATAGACTAAAATTGAGATATTTTTGTGGATAATAAATGGTAAAATTAGAGATAATAAATACATACTAAGAAAGCCAATAAGGTTAACAATATATAGGTATAGTACGTAAATTTATTGAAAAAACTAACAACATGACAATTCAGAAAATGTTCTTACCAAAACCACGTGAACTCAGTGCCTGAGACGACTGAACTTATATCTTACAACTGTCATACTTTTGATCTGGAAACTTAACAGAAGTCATTGTGTTATATTTTTGTCTCCGACTCTCCGTTCAGTTTATGTTAAGTTGTGCACGGCCATGCTGATTAATACTCAATACTGACAATACTGATCAATACTCAATACTGACAATAGCTAAGATGAAACATGCAACCACGATGTATGATGATATTTTATGAAGTATTAATTATTTTATTGAAGTTCAGACAAAGTTTGTGCACGGTGAGGTATAGTTCACCATGACACAAAGGCTTTCAATTTTTTGTATCTTTGAAGTTAGTTGCCAGCCGTTCCAGACTCACAATATCTTGACAACTATATGCCGGCTTACGTTTATCACTATAGACATAGTCTATAGACTGGTGCGAATAGCCTTGATCTCATCATCACTTAATCGGATTTATTTTTATTCAGTCTTCAGACAGAAGTTTGGTTTCCATTTCGTGTCACTCTGTTTTTTTCTTCTATATAGCTAAGTTCGAGCACTACTACGTGCATGGGTACATTTTCGCGGATACGCAGTTGAAGTGGAAAACCAGCTTTACACAATGACTTCAGTTTCTGTTAAAATTGTTTAATCAAATATGTTGTTTTCAAAAAGCGAGGCATGTACGCTCCAGATCCTGGTAACAACTGATCAACATATTCTTTATAGAAGGAATACATTTAACGAGGAGTATAGGCGACTGTTTTTATATAAAGAATATTCATACCGGTGTACATGCAATCGATGCAGAACTATTGGCATTGTAACACATTGAACTTAAAATATACTCATAATTAAATTATTAATGAATCGCATGAGCGGCCGTATTGTATCAGATATACAAACTCGAGTCGAAGGCGAGAGGTTGTATCAACTTAAAGTTTATGTAAATCAGCATGAATCTGTATCAGACATACTGTACAAACTCCTTCACGCTCATGATTTCTTTTGTGTTTTCTCATGAATTATTAATGAGTTTCACAAGGATATAAAAAAAACGAAGACGAAGTGAAATCCTGTTGTTAACTATCAAGTATTTTTTGTTTCTTAATCGAGAGAGGAAGTTTTTACAACGTTGTTATATTCGATCATTAATTATCGCGAGACATTGTTGAAAGACTTTAAAATCCAAGAGACAATACATGAAATTTTATTGGTTCAATAATTACTCAAATCATAATGACATAAAGGAATTACAATGATTTCGAATATTTGTATATCTTGGCACTTGACGGAAGCTCTGAAGAACTTAATATCACAACCAGTGGCTGTTGACGGAAGCTATGAAGAACTTTAATGGAGGGCGAGATGGAAGGTGTTTCACTACAACTGCAGACAAACTAACCTGTTCAGGTGGTGATTGAAACAATAACAGAAGAAATTTGTGGTATTAACCGGCAAGGATAGATCCACGTCCGAAATTGATCACGCACGAAATTTTATGATTGACCAGTAATGGACATCGGAGTACCAATGTACACGTACGGTTGGTCACGGTGTACAATATACTGTATACACTCTAACAAGCTATATTATACTATAAACCTGTAGGCGATTCTCACCTTGCGTCATTACCACCATTTTGGATAAATTTCACGAAGGGATTCATTATTGGCTTATTGCATTAATATATGAATTACATATACAGCAGTCTCCAAACTCAATAATTTATTAACTTTGCCAAATTCAAATAACGTTAACACAAAACTGGCAGGGCAATCGCAATGTAGGTACATAGAAAAAAAAAAACCAATTACTAACGAACTATCAGATACTTTTCACATTGCGACCCACAGGACCACTTCCATTTTCGGAAGCTGCCTGAGTCACTAGTAATGAAAATTATGACGTGACATATGAAACCCTCACAATCCTAAACCTTCAGCAAAACTATGAATAGGACCCATAGATACCAATGCGAAAAGTACTTCTGAACTTTGGATTAAAATATAAAAACTACACGTTATCGGTCTAGCCAGGTCTCGAGCTTGGTTGCATTTTATGCAAACCGATTTCCATGTTTCAATAAGAACGTTAACTGAGTGCAAATCAGTGCAATATCTAAAGTACTATATTTGTTGATGTACTGTTTTAAGACTGAAGAACATAATGATTCCATTTTTAAGAAAGAACATTTAATTCCGCGGGCGTTATAGCTATTTGTTAATACAGGCAGCGTTTACACTGTACCGTTTTCGTAGCGTTCTCGTATTGTTCGAGAGAACTAGACTATTGTCTTGCGTTCCCTTGAGGATTAAGAACAATACGAGAACGCTACGAAAACGGTACAGTGTAAACGCTGCCACAATTGCGGCAGATAACTTGCGCACAGACGTGGGATATACCGCGGTATCCTGGATCCTGAGGAACATTTTCCCTAAGAAGAAGATCGAGGAATATATCATACTTCCTTATCTGTCAGTTCAGACATGTAACATAAATACAGTGATCAAGTATATACTTTGTTGTTGCATACATAATTAATTGCGTAATGGCCAAATTTTCCATTGTTTTCATGCACTTTTGAGGAACATTTAAAAAAGGCAAATTCAGGATCCGAGGAACATTAATTAAACACTTTTTTAGATCTGTTTGCGCTTTGGAGATGATATTCATAGTTGACTTGGCCTATTTACAAACGGAATGATTTTTATTTTTCAAATTTAACAAAATATTTATGACGTTTAGTTTAAGTCTAGAGACGGAAACAGACGCTATAAGCTATTTTCTGGTGCAGGCCAAGCAATTCAATTTTGAATTTACAGTTTATGCAAGGATTATTATTGATTTTTCGTGCCCTTGGCCGTCCTTGTAGTTATATCATATCTTCACATTGTCTTTGTCGTTTCAAACTGCACCTGAAAAAATAAAACAATTCAAGAAAAGGACGACGTGTTTGACCTGAGAAAGTTTAGTGGTGAATGCTGCAGACTCATAAAAATATTCGTACAAGACAAATAATTCAGGTAATATGTAAATTTACGAAGCCGCACTTCACAAATATTACAAAATATCAGAAAAACTAAATATCCTTTCGGAAAAAACAAAAGTTTTATAACAAACTTTGATGAGCGATCACGCAATTTATCCAATCAAGTCGTCAAATTGATACAAAATGTCTACTAAGAACTGCGTATAGAATTAGTTAATTTAATTAAATTAGTTAACATAAAAAAATATGTTATGGTTTAATTTGTACGAAATTGAAGTGTTCTTACATTGCCTCACAGCTTGTATCAAATGCTTGCACGCTTAACAAGTAAACATGCATTTCTGCCAACACTTACATGACTTAGATTCGAGTACCGCGGAGCTAAATTGTACCCGAGATTCTCAAATATCCGGTGTCGAATTGAGAACTGCATGTGTTTACATCTACACTGCTGTCACTGGTGAGTAATAACCTAATACATTTTTGTATATATAAGAATGGATGGATAACTAATCTTAGTTTCAGTTAATTTTTGAGAAACCTTTAATAAAGCTCGATATACCAAGTCGAAGGCTAATCGAATATGATTTTTCATCATAAAATGTATAAGCTCTAGTATATATCGATGTAGAATTGTAGATTATTGTTTTAACGATCAGAAGTTTGGGCTCGACATCACCAGAAATCGCGTTTATGGTCGGAACATGAAAATACCCTTTCATTAGGTTTATCGAACCGGGATAAATATGCAAGGAATATACGTATCTTTTAATTATCAAACTTATGGCACATAAATGGCGTTATTAATATAGTTACAACTAATTGCGTCATACATTGTATACCACAAATAATTTTGAAGTTAGCTACCTTCGCTTTTCAGTCCATAATCAATGGCCGGTTGATTCACTGGATAAGTTAATAAAAAGTCAAGGCTAGAACCGATTTAGGATCATTTACTCACTGAAAACAGTTCATTGACATTGACCCTCATTAATTTGTCGCATTGGAATTTCTATAACATGTTTGTGGATGCATGCATAAATTTGCCTATGCCATGTTATCCATTGATAATGATGATAATATACTGCACAGTCCGTTAAATGGTACAGTACAGAAGACTTATATTTATACTAATACTGATGGCGGCCAAAGTTAATTTAATATAACAACAAAATGCCTTCTTAAAATCATAAATGGCATAATAGACAAAAAAGGGTGGACTTGAGTTTTGACGCCTTGCATGTTGTAATTTTGAATTTTGTGGATTTCACTATTGAAGGATAACTCAATAATCTGACAGTAAATGGATTACTGTCAAATCATTTAAAATACATCTTAACCAGTTGCATGCATGACCACTTAAGCTAAACGCAAAAATTTCAGCAATTATTAGATTACATTTTTTTTATCAAATATTAGCATGAGGTACATTAAAAGTATGATATAGTTGATCTGTTGAGAGCTTTGGAAAACACAACCGATACAGAAATGTTTAATAAGCGGTGGCACGCGGCCAATGACCTTGATATGACATCACTAATGGCCGTCATTCTTGTGTTGACATTTCTCCTCTGATAATCCCAGCAAGAGAGAACTTATCACGCAATAAAACACTTGGGAACAATATCCGTACGTAAATATTCCAAATGTAGCTTACAAAACACGCCGGAAAAACTCACGAAATCGCGCTGCACAGCAACATTCTGTTTTTGTCATTAACATCTTAGACACAGTGACGTTCCCCGAGACGCCGACTGAAATTCCTGCCTTGCTGAAAAGCATCCAAAGAGCATAAAGAACTGTTATCACTTTATGTGTTAGATATGAAATACGTTAACAACACCCACTTCCTCCATATTAAGCCGCGGGGTACATTATAAACTGCTGTATATAAGTGGATTGCACATTTTGACATTACAATACCTGTACGCCCAACACTGGTGAAGAGCTCCGACATTCAGTGATGAATTATTCAATAACGCTCGCGATCTGTTTTTGTTGGCTTCTGTGTGGTACTACAACCAAGGCAGGAGAGTCAAATACAGGTGATGGACTCAACCAAGGACTTAACGATGTTGCGGTAGATTTTCATAGTCATACTTCGCTGATAAATAGCACAAGTGAAATGGTCCCTTCAGCCGGTGATCACCCTACTTCTAAATGGATTTGGAAACCAATTGGCCATAAAATAAATGACATCGACTCTGCAATAATTCTTGGCTTGTTTGAAAATGACTCGGGATCCGGGGAAGATGACGGAGTTTATGAAGAACCAGTTAATGAAACGCAGACCAGCAGAGAAGAAATTTGGACTTTTGACGAGACGATAGAAGAGAGAGTGTATACTACGCAAAGTCCTAAAACGATGGATAGAAAACGAAGTAAAACTGAGGAAAAGGCGTATCTGATCTACGAAAGGCATCTAAGAAAAACAAATTGGTGTTTTAAAGATAACGAAGAAGCAAAACCAAATTACAAGTTTAAGGTAAAACGTCTTTGCGAGTCACTTTTTTTCTTTCAATACATAAAACGTATACTGAAATAGAATATCTTGTGTCTTAATTACTATGCGCATTCATGATTTTAGTTACCGGTTACTGAGGGAATTATTTTTGTTATTTCATTCGCGCGCTATATACCTATTTGTTGAATCAACAAAATACCAAAACTCTCAACGCTCGGCTTGATCGAAATGCCCAAATCTTTTTTGTAGTTTAGGCTGTCAACGTAGCCACTCACTATAATTGGCTTGATTTATATAGTGCTGTCTCTCACTATACGTTTGCAAATTTTACTCTACACTGTTCCAACAGTCGTATTTGTGGTAATTAGACTGCTAACCGTCGTGCTAATTTTCCTTCAGTAAATGACCAAGAAACACAAATAAACTATATCTGTAAATATTTCGTGCTCAGAAAATTGAAATAAACAAAGGCAAGCTAAGAGATGAAACAATTTCATTAATCCCATTCACTGTGCTTTCATCAATTGCGCACAGTTGATCAATAGCTACACTGCAAGGAATTGTACATAATGTTCTTCCGGAACTTCGTAAAGAGATAAAAAATTGGACAGAGAAATGTCTAAATTAGTAAATAGCTTGATTTCCTGCAACACAAAACACTTTTAACTCCACCTTAACCACAATGTTGCTAGAAGGATATCTCTATATGCAAAGGCTAGTGACAATCAATGATAAATTGTTGTTGTTTTATGCAAGCTCTGCAGTTTATAATAAGGAATTAGAACTTGACAAATTTCTGGTGACACAATCATCACTTTGGGTACTTGTTACAATGGTTTAAATGTTCGTTCTGCCACATGGGTTATGTTGATTTATATATAGCAAATGTATTATATTTCAAACATGCATTATATTGATATAACAGTATATAACCGAGAGATACTCTACATGTAGTAGCTATATTAAGCCTATATAATATCAGGTGAATCTTGAAATCGTAGGAGTCCAGTGTAGATGCGTGCAATAATTAAGCTGCCGTGGGTTTGAATCGAAACAGCCCTGAAACAGGATTATAAGATCACTTAGACGTTTCGAGAACACCATTAATCATTATAGTCAGGAGTATAGTTATTAGAGCGTGCATGCATGGCTTTGCTGAAAATAACGTCCAGATCTCGAAAACATGCAGTAGAATTTCTCTGGGAAATAATACATCATCAACAAGATCACGAGGAACATTTTCAGTTCCTCACACATACTTGATCTTAAGGAATCACAACTACAAGTGTGAATCTATAGTTACTCATCTATAATTTCGGCAAGGCATTTTTTAATACCATGGACTGGTGGGGCATTTGCCCCACTAGGCCCCTTCCTCTGCGGCTCTGCCCCATCACTGAAGAAAAAAATGGCCTAATGCCCCAAAGCCAGGGCCCTAGGACCTGTACTGAGTAAATGAGTTTAACATTGAAAAGAAGTTTAAAAAAATTTGTTGGTGAGCATACTTAAACTTATGTTATGTTTGACTGTTTAGCATGCAATTTATTACAAATTTCACCATTAAAACTTTGTTTTGAGAAGCTGAAATTTTTTTTCAATGTGTTCTCAGAATGCAGGAAATGCTATTTCAGAGACTCAAATCTTAAAAATTTCCTGGGGGGGGCATGCCTCCAGGTTCAACCCCCCTAGCTAACTCGTGTCTGCGGTACTCTGCTCACCCCCTCGGCGATCGCATACTATGCTGGGGGGAGGGCTTGCCCTTTGGCAGTTTTGCCCCACCACTGAAGAATCCTTAAAAAATGCACTGAATTTCGGAGTTATATATAGAGAAGTCTTGTTATTCATAGTTAAGATTAAGGTTACTTTGTTTTATACGTCAAATTTTCCATCGTTCCACATTTGGACAGTCTAGCTTGGTCTTGGGTCAGAAAAATTAAACACTTTCTCAGTCAGTACCGCTCATATGTCATAGGTCAAGAAACGTATAAATTATATCGGTTCAGTAATTTTCAGGTAGTTCAAAGATAAATTATTTAGAAAGAACGTTTAAGACAGCAGTGGAATCATGCATGCAATGATGCTACCGTATCATTAAATATTTTCATATAGCCTATATTATATAACCTGAGATTGAGAAGTGCATTCTGTACCTTGTTTACATAACCTTCAAATATCTAATTTTTGTATAGAAAGCAGAGGTGTGCTGCCGAAGACGTAGAGGATGCCAAGGAAGACGACATATAAAAAGAGGAATTTACGATTGTTCGTGCGACATATATTTTCATATTTGCTTGAAAAAAGCTGATACAAAGATGGCTAAAAGCATCGAAAACATGTACTTTAACAGGAACATTGTCTGTTATAAAAAACAACGCAAAGTTTGCATAAACGAACCGTGTCCAGATGCAACGTACATGTGGAAAATAATCGCTCGCCATCCTAAATGAACTGATCGATAATCGTGATGTATGCCGAAAGAGTGAATATATAAATGTATTAACTATAGGTGTATGATAAGTGGTTCAAGTGCTATGACTTCTCCAGACTTCTCCCACCCACTGTCTTTCGCGTAATTTATGGGATTATATAGGAGCACAAACGTAAGACTAGTTCGTGCACAAGCCCTTATTAATTATCTGACTTATTTAATTGTGAAAGACATTAAAGACACTTGACAACTTGCATGTAGTCTTAGAACGTGTGAAGTACCAAGATTTAGTTACTTTAAGCCGCTTTAATTTAAATGGGCGTGAGCTATAAAAAACATACCAATATAAATTATATTGAGTAAATAAATGTTGCAATGACATATATTATAATGTTTCTCTGCTTGAATTTTATAAGATTGTTTTCTTGGATGCAAATGGATGAGAGTCTTCAATCTTCAAAGCATATTCTTCATTTTATCTTTTCCTCTCAGTTTATCTTTTAATATGGTGGTGTGCGCATGCATGTAAATGCCGTCCAACATTTTTGGACCGCCTGCCTTCTCACTGGCATGCAAAGTACTTGGAACTAGCAACCGATCATTCCTTTTTCTGTTATTAAACACTTGATTTTTTTATTTTTCTTTGTGTTACTTGAAACTTTGTAAATTATTATTGAAAGCACAAGCCCATGACAAATTTGGAAACAAACTGTCGAATATATTTCATGGGATATTGCCCTTAATTGCCTTTATCTAAAACTGCATTTCAATTTTATTCACATCATAGGACATAGACCCATGCATGATATCCTTTTCTGTGTAGAATCCCAGGGAGCTAGGGTGCCCGGTGGCAAACTATATGATTGCCTGTTTTCGTCTTGATGAAAACGTACGCATTCTCAGTCGATTAAATTTTATATATATATACAGCTAATTCAATAAAGGTTGTCCTTTGAAACCTTAAACTCTAAAACCTTAAACCTTAAACTCTAAACGCGCAATCATAATGGGAGCACGATTTCAGCATTTTGCAAAGCATATATGGAACCATTTCTTGGAGACATGATAAATATCTCCCTGCAAAAACATTTCATTGACAAACAGCTGCAATAATCAACTACTAAGCTTGAATCAGTGCTCCCATCATGCTTTGCGCGCTTAGAGTTTAAGGTTTAAGGTTTTAAAGTTTAAGGTTTGCAAAGGACAACCTTTATTGAATTAGCTGTATATATATATATATATATATATATATATATATATATATATATATATATATATATATATATATATATATATATATATATATATATATATATATATATATATATATATATATATATATATGCATGCAGTATATGCTACCTGCAGGGATGTAACAATGTATTAGAAATGTTTCTTTAATTCGTTTATGTCAAATAAAATGAAAATATTGTTTAAAAGGTTAAAAGGTATATTGATAATAAAAACTTAAACCAACTCAATGCCTCGCGTGCAAAGATAGTAAATTAGAGAGGTTAAGATTGACGTTTACGGCAGACTGGTAACCGCAAACGGCAAACTTCAATTCGCATTTGCCGGTAAGTTCTACAAGTTTCCGAAGGTTTCGACAGGTTTTTAGTCAATTCATTCTTTCAATTTTATTGCACAAATTGTCCTAACTTCGAACAGCTTACAGTTGATCTCAAAATACGACTTGAAGTTAGCGGTTATAGCGGTTAAAGCGGTTACCAGTGTCTCGTAAACGTCAATCTTAACCTCTCTAATTTATTGCACAAATTGTCCTAACTTCGAACAGCTTACAGTTGATCTCAAAATACGACTTGAAGTTAGCGGTTATAGCGGTTAAAGCGGTTACCAGTGTCTCGTAAACGTCAATCTTAACCTCTCTAATATTTAACTCTCGCGCAAAGATAGTAAATGAGCCATGCAACAGCCAGTACAAACAATGAATGTTTATGAGTGCAATGGTAAGAATATTTTCATGAGGTGAAAGATGGAATGTTCCATTCAACGAGGCGACAGCCGAGTTGAATGGAACATTCCATCTTTCACCGAATGAAAATATTCTTACCATTGCACGAATAAAAACATTCATTATTTGTTTTATATAGTACCAAAATAGACAAATATTAAAAGGTTTACTGTATGCTCCCGTCATTTTGACGAGTCGTATTTGCATTATTAAACCCATTTACTGAGTTTCGAATATCGGGTTAATTAAAATAAACTGCGATCACCGTACGAGAAGTATTTTGACGGATGCGATTTATCGAAAACACAAAGAGTGCAATGGAATAAAACGTATAGTACATTGCACTCGCAAAGAGTGCAATGGAACGTATTCCATATTTCCATTGCACTCTTGAGAAATGGAATTTTCTATTCAATATCACGTGACCATAAACAGCCAATTGAACGATCAGAATTCAATAAGGTATTATATAATGTATGCTGTGTTTACGTGAATTGGAATTTGGAAAAACGGTCATTGATTCATGTCTCGCTGTTTATGAATACGAATGCGCCCTACCTTACCCTGACACTAACCGCTGACCCTAACTCATGAAGGACATGAACAGCGAGACTGGCCTATACTCCCGTGAAAACGATGGAATGAGAACTGTGTCGGTAATGACATTCATGTTGAGAGACTAAATGCTGCACATCTGCCAAAAACAACTCTTACAAATGTAAACAGATAAATCAGGTTAAGACAGACAGTTAGACTATCGGCCGTTTTCTAGAATGACATACAGAGCTACTGTAAACCTATTTTTAAATGAGTGTGAATGTGAGTACTGAAAGAAATGCTATAATTATAAAACGACTATACAGGTGTGAAAGAGAAAACAAAATCTGTGGATTACGCCTATACTGAATTGGATAAACATGGTCATGTCCTGCAAGTTTATCATATGCGTGGTGATGGCCATATATATTTTGGTATAAGAGTGTACCGCAAAATGGAACTGTGATTATAAAGAACAGATTCAGGATACAGAACTGAACAAAATCACTACAGCTGTAGAAACCTTTACACTTCAGTATAAACAATAAAAACTATCATTTACATAGACAGTTTGGCTATGTAGTATAGACATGATGGATTGATGGATAGATTACCATATCCTATATAGACCAAAGTGTATTGATATTCAGTAATTGCGTCTTCATGTGTATAAATTAAATATTACATTTACTGGATCTAGATTCTAGATTGACAAAACAGAACTATACTATAGTTCTTATTATAGACATCAAAGTATATAGGCCTAACACAGCATATAAATAGACTGCACTCATGTTTATTGCACTCTTGCCCTAGTGGTCTCATTTTCATGTGCCTGTACACTATATTATTTAATATAAGATTTCTGACGGGTGGATTTGTGATTGCCAGATTGGGCTCAAGTTCACAGAGCCACATATTCGTGCACGCAAAACATGCCTGTTCTACCTGAGACTAGTGGTATATTTAAGCTTGTTTTCCATGACTCATGAGTTAAGTCTTAAGAGTTTCTCATACGTGTATACGCACGCGGTAAAGTTTAAATAATTTAAAACACTCATTACATTATATCAATAATTCATAAGCTTTTTGGCAAAAAATGTGAACCATAGACTCATAGTATGTTACGTGAAGTGGCTTTATACCTATAAATTGGAAAGTTTGCAAATTGCGCGACCGAGATCAAAGCCGCCTAGTTTTTGAATCTGCGCGTTTGGTATCTGAATTAGCACGTGCGGTTTTAATTCATAGTTTTCAGTTTTCACCAAACGTGACAAAGTAAAATTGTTTATTACACTTAGTTCATGTTCTATGTTAGTTTATTTGCTTACGAAATTACGGAAATTTAAATCATCACATTCACGTACACCACCATACGAAACGCTCACCAACATTCGTTGCTTGCCAGAGTCTTTTTTAAGAATTTGTCCGTGGGGAGAAAGCAATCTACAAAAAGGGACCACACTATTGTATGTAATAGTAGGGGGGATCTGGGTGGATTCTCCCCCAGAAAATGTTTGAATTTTTCCACCCCTAGAACTGCATTTGGTGCATTTTCAGAACAGATTTTTGGATGCATGCACAGCGTTACATTATATACAGTACTTTAGATATATTCTTATAGAATCTTCAGTTACAACTCGGTCACTAACTTGTTTCGCCAATTAGTCTAGCCTTCCAACAACTCAAATCTATAGGGTCTGGGATATGCTATCCAATAAGGCACGGGCTTAAAATCTAATGTATTCAGGAAACAATGTTTAGCATTTTTATAGACATTGAATTATTTGAAGATAAAAGACAGGACATAAGATTCACAAAGCAAATTTCAGTTATCAGTAGAATATCAAATATTCTTTCCAAATTCCATTTTTCGTCTAATGTTTTGCTGATATTTTAGAGAATAGAGACTTTGACTGGGGACCAAAATGGTTGAATGGTGGTGGGGAGTCATTGGGGCTGGGGGATTTTGGCTCCCAAGTTATATAGTTAAAAAGGGCCCTGTTAATGCTTGCAAACACTCCAAACAGTACTATATATTGCTAGTCTTGTCTATAACATATTCATGCACTATACATCTATACTGATGTCTATTCCACAAATTATCTCAAATTTGTACCTACATGGTCCATTTACATTATCTTACTAAATTACTAAATGTTATCTTTTAAATTGCCAATGTGCGATCATATATAGGTGATATATATATATGGAAGGCAAGCACCTAATCGATGTTTGTTTAACTATTGTAAACTCAGACGTGTGTTCTTGAATGAGTATTGAATAAAGACTGTTAAATTATTAACTGATTTGTCAAGTACCCTCAAACGACTATATAAAAGCTGTAAACATGATTTGTTGGGTCAGCAACCAGGTGATGGTAAGGACGGTCGTTTGGTTATTAAATGTCTTTCAACAACAACCAGGTGGTATAGCAAGGAAGATATTTCAGTTATTAAATGTGTATAAAGTATAAACAGCAACCAGGTGGTGGCTAGGAAGGTATTTCAGTTATATTATATATTAAAGATAGGTAATCGTACCTCTACAGGCGTTTGGGATTTTGCGTTGTGCAACTTTCTTGTAAGCCTTATTTAGTTATTGGTTTCTAAAATCTTCACAGGGTCTGGAAAGTATACTTGACCTTACTGTGAAATATTGTATAGCAGGTACATGCATGGACAGCATGGTTATAGTGTGCGCAGTGTTTTGTGTATTTTCTTTGTCAGTCCTGTCCATGTCATCTAAAATTATTCCTTCAAATGATAGGAATAATTTGATGATGTACATTACTCACATGGTCTTGCGAGAAGACCATCCCGTGAAGTGCAGTACGCATGTGATAACGAACTCACTCTGTCACGCAAACCGCTATGTCCTATCTAAGACATCTAACCCCAGTCCCAGAAATGCAAGTATAAGACCTCTATACGTGGGTATCATTAGGTTAATGGATTTCCTAGATGTTCACAGTGTCTGCGAGGCAGACCAATACTGTAAAGTATTGTGTAATAGGTAAGGTATGTTATATACCCTATAGAACCTATGTATAGCCATATGTGCTAAACGTAGGCTTGGTTATGGTTTGCCGTACAGACTTTGTCTATCTAAAGTTAAGTTGCAGGGTAAGAAAGTCCGTTTGTCTGTTTAGAATGAGGCAGATGTTATTAAATATATATGGTTCGAATAATAAGGCAGAATTTTTCTGACCAAACCATCCCATTTGTATAATAAATATTAATGGCAATAAATGATAGACCGATGAATGGTTTTGATGATTATGATTCTTAATGAAACATGGAAATTGGCTGTGATTGAATATTAGGGCTATAATACTATATCATATATATTTCATAGAGTCTTGGGTTAACCCTATTCGACTGTGAATTTTATTCAGTTTCGTCTTTTTTTACGTGACTCCCCACTGACTCGGGCGTTTGACTCGGGCTCGGAATTGAATCGGACTCGGATTTGACTCGGTCATGATCAATGGTCATGATTCGCTCTGTTTGGCCCTCAGGCCCCTCACGAATTCAGTTATTTACCGAAGTTGGCACTTGGCAATATGGCACACCACACTGAGAGTCTGAGACGCTGACTGCTGTCATGATTATATTTATAAATCATTGCTTTATAAATAATTACTTATTCTGTTATTCAGTTGTAGTGCATTTCAATCAATATTTCGAAATTCGAATCGTTCCATCCTGAACAACACGCGTCAATGTATTATACATGTATTATAGTATATTTGTATTCAGACAATTCAGTCAGTTTTTAATAATACACAATACAAAAGTGCGATACAAAAATATGAAACAATTTACAACACTACATTTACCTGGCAGAATGATTCAAAAGTCTTTTGATGAATGATCGCAGTCACGCAGTGGAACAACAGCACAGTCTTCGCCTCAATGGTCGTATGATTGTTCGCCTTGAAAAGCCAGTTCCAAAACCAAAAAACCGCCGAAATACAATTAGATCAAATTTCGGAATGCCTGATGTTTATTGGTTAATCGTGCCTCGTCGGAGATAAACTTTCAGTATGCCAATTCCAGATGGGTCTGATCATAGACATAGTCAAAATTCTTTTCAATTTCCGGCGCCGCCGGCGCGCAAAAAATTGCGGTTCCCGTACGTGTATCGCGATATTTCTCGCGCGCGCTTGAAAAATTGCAATATATTTTAAATCCATGCAAGCGCGCGCTTGAAAAATTGCGCAATCTCAACTTCGCGCGCGCCTCATTTTTGAAATTGCGCGTCTGACAGCTAATTTTTTGAAATTTGCGCGTCTGGGCGCGCATTTTGAATAAAATTGCGCGACCGAGATCTCGGGCGCGCAGTACAAACTTTCCAGTCTGGCGGCTATAATAAAACTTCATTAGTATTGTATATAATGTCCATCCAGACCATCCTAAATACTAATGAGACGGCATTGAAAACATTTTTTTCAAATTCTTTTCTTATCATATTTTAGTCAAGTACTGTGATAGATTATGCTTAGGCCTTATAGCTACTTCAGGATCAGTAACTTTGACATTTGTCGTCGCCATGGACGGGGCATAGTAACTATAAGATAGCCCGAGGGCCTGCACGCGGGCTATCTTGCAGGGTAAAATATAGGGGTTGCTCCAAAAAGGATGTGAGCCAAATTAAATTTACTGCGCGCAGATGGAGGATATCCGATCGGAGTGATCGGTCTATGTCCTGAACCTAAAATAATACACAGTCACAGCTAGGTAATAGAATATAAGGCATTTATGAACCATTACAATATTCATCACCGTTTCCAAAACGTTTTTGTATCAATGGTAAAAATGCAATAATGCTAGCTTAATCGTTTCTATCAAACATATGTCCACATGCGACAATAATTAATGACGGCGCAGAGATTTCAGAAATTGCAGGGAATTTTACTCATTTCCTATCACGGAAATACAACATTAATGCCGCGCCGGGAAAATATAAACATTTAAGCAGAAGATATTAAACTGATGTAGCTAGTACAATATATAATATATTTGCTAGCTGTCACCGCAAAAATTCAGACTAGAATAACAACAATTTACTGAATTTAGTACAATAGTGAAACAAAGAGTATTATATAGACTGCGAGCAATCCCTCTATTTTCCTTCGTTTTATTGTTTCCCGGACTAACGAAGGAAAATAGAGGGATTGCTCGCAGTCTAAGTGTTATAAAAAAATACAAAACAATGGACCAGTGCCTTTTTTAAGGAATTTTCACCTGGGGGGGGGGGGCAAAACAGGAAAAAAGGCAGAACGAAAATTATGAGCCATCGAGGTTTGGCGAACGCGCGAGTCCGGAAGAGAGATTTTGTAAAACTTTAATTTATTAACTTCACCTATATTTTACCATAGTTAGATTTTACTTTAAACAATAACTTCAACTCTTTGTAGCTATAATCGTACAGCTATAACCAGTGGTGTAGCCAGACCTTAATTTTTTTTTTTGGGGGGGGGGCGAACCTCACCTCACGCCGAAGGCGTGAGACCGTCCATTTGAAATCTAGGGTCCCTGAATTGCGATTTCAAGCATTTTGGGGGTGAAATCTAGCAAAATTCCGAAGATTATAAAGTACATCGAAGACATGAATTTTTCCAGACATTTCTACTCGGAATTAAATAAATTGGAAAAGTCGCCTTGAAAAATAGGAGGAGGGGTGAGGGGTCAGTGTCACTTTATTTCCTCTCTGTGATGCTGGGGGGGGGGGAGAAAATCCCAATGTGATTTTGATCAGAAATGTTGCATTTAAATCATTTTAGGTTCTATGAGACACCATTTCCGCATTCTCAAAATTGCGTTGCTTTTTCATACGATACAGAATAAATCTGAGAAGAAATATTCATGCTATGCATAATGATGCATACATGTATTTAACAGTTAAAAATCTAAACTAAATCTATTCTTCTTTGAACCGGCATTTTATCGGATGGTTTGCATGAAATCTATCGCTATTATGAAATACTCGGTGAAGAACAATATGAATTACACACAAGATGGCTGTGGAGGAGGCTATGGAAGGGCATAATCTCATTATCAAGTAAATCAACTGCAATTCTGACAGCAATCATGAGCAATTCTGCTTCGCACTTCGGGGGCAGAAATGGCTTTACTGGGGGGGGGGGAAATTCTTTCCCTGGGGGGGGGCACCCCAGATATATAGTTAAAAAAGGCACTGTAGTTTGGGCTCTTCCAACTTTGAGGACCAACGCTGATTTATAATATCTGCCAGCTTCTGGCTAACCTTTGGTCCTGTCGTAGCTTCATCAGCGAACTCCTGAGGTATCTCGCTCAATAAGTCATCCTCAGCTACTGAGGGGATTGAGTTTGGCGCTTCGCCATTTTGGCCGCCTTCTGTTTGCGGCACGATAAGCTGCTCCGAATCTGAGAGTTCCACTTCTGCGTCAGAGTGTGGACTATCACTCTCAGTTTCTTCAGCAACTCGGAGTCTTTTCGTTGGTCTTTCCTTGTCAGTTTCGACCCGAGAAAGACGTTTGAGAACAGATCTCAAATCCTCGCCCATGCTCTTAACCATAGCCTTGAAGTTTAGATTGTCTTCGTCTTTAGAACTGTCTTCTTGCTCGTCTTCACCAGTTCACCGGCTAATAACAAAGCTGCTTCTCGCTCCTCCGAAAGGGCGTCCCTTTCAGCAGAGTTAGTCGCAGCCATAGTCACGGATGAAGGATTTTAGTCGTTTTAAATATCACTCTGGTTTTCTTTGAACTGACCTTCGCAAGGATCTTGCACAACTGATCTTCCGGTTCGCGCGCTTTCTCATATAATCACATGACGGCATATTGTAAACACTGGACTTGACTTTGGACTATGGACTTTGGACTTTGGACTATGGACTTTGGACTTTGGATTTTGAAATTATATTTTTAAAATAATTATTATATTTTTAAAATAATTAAATAATTATATTAATTAAAATCTAAACAGAGAACGAAAATTTGTGCATGATACAATATTCAAGGTAAAAAATACTGTCAGTTATATAGGTATACCAGTGCAATTTCATAGATATAGCCTGTGGGATAACAGGATCATCTCAGTAATATTTTTAAGTTAATATTTAAATTTTATTATAATATTTGTATTTATAGTATGTATAGTACAGTTTATACTGCAGAACTTCTTCTTTATCGTATATATAATAGATTTATAGAAACAATTGCGACAAAAGTAGCTTGGCAAATACAAAATATTGAGAAACTATCACGTATAAGTATAAACTACACGCGATTATTATTGCGCCTTTGGCTTTGAATAATTATTCGCGGAAGGCGAGGCCGTGATTATCCGGGAATTTGTAGTCTCCCTCGCAGCCGCCAGTTGTGTACGTTCTCTCTGATGTCTGCGAAGGAGGCTAGGGAATTTGTCAAATTTGACCAATCAACTTGACAACTTGTAGGATTTGTTGTACTATTTATTAGCCGAATTCATATTAGAAGACGGATTTCCGTCTAAGACGGGAAACTCGTCTCAGACGAGAAACTCGTCTTGATATAAATTCGGGAAACGACGGGTTTTCCGTCTCAACTTTTCCGTCTAACTTTCCCGTCTGAACGACGGGAAAGTTAGACGAGTTTCTCGTCTTAGACGGAAATCCGTCTTAAATCCGTCTTAAATTTATATCAGACGAATGAATCAAGACGGGTTTCTGCTCATAACGTTCAAAAGAGACTGGGATGGAGGGTCTCTTATTTTTTCGGGTTTATCCGTCCGATGGTTTTCGTTTCATACTTATACCAGACGGAAATCCGTCACACGAGTTTCCCGTCTTAGACGGAAATTCGTCTTCTAATATGAATTCAGCTATTCACTTGCGCAAAAATACTAATGACGGTATTGTTCATCTTTGCATAATAGTTTACACCGGTTTAGCGCCTGCCTAAATAGGCTGTGTTTACAATGTATTTTGTTTGTGTCAGTTTTAGCTTTTCATAAATGTATTCAGCCATAGTGAACACGAAAACTCTCATAGTCATCATACTTTATAAAATACGAATGTATGATACATTATCAGTTATATAATTGGTAGTACTGATTACTTTATGATAATCTATAGTAATTAGTATTACTTTATGTATATATTTATGTCTATATTATTGTCTATATATGGCTCTTTTGCGTACGTTATGCGGCTGAGCATTAATCTTTATACTACGATTGCGATTCCCGCCTGGTTCATCACTTTCAAGTGGTAGTATTACAGTAAACGTGGCAAATAGTTGCTAGACTACCTGAAGCACATAGACATAGATTTTTGCCTTCTCACACACAACTGAGTAGGTCTTAAAAAGTGTGTAAATTTCCGTTAGTCGAATATTCCTGTCCATCTACTAACCGCTTATTAATAATAACTGAAGCACTTAGTCTTATAGTGATAAGGATAGCTAACTAGAATGTCTTTCAAAAATAAGTAACATTAACAAAACGTTACTGTGTAACGGAGTAAACAATTACACAATACAGTACTAGTATAAACTGTTATGCAAAGATGAACAGTCACAATACTCAATAGGCGCGATAATAATCACTTGTATAGTTAATATTTTGTATTTGCCGAGACACTTTTGTCACAATTGTTTCTGACAATTAATCTATTATCTATATGATAAAGAAGAAGTTCTGCAGTATATACTGTACTATGCATACTATAAATACAAATATTATATAAAATTTAAATATTAAATCCCAAAATATTGGATAATCCTGCTATTCTACAGGCTATATCAGTATGAAATTGCACTGCTGGTATACCTATATAACTGATACTAGAGATTTTTTACCTTGTATATTATTATATCATGCATGTGCATCAGCAGTGTAGCACGCTTTTCAGCAGCAAATTTTCGTTCTCTGTTTAGATTTTAATATAATTATACGAAAATCTAAAAAAATAATATAATTTCAAAATCGAAAGTCCAAAGTCCATAGTCCAAAGTCCATAGTCCAAAGTCCAGTCCAGTGTTTACAATATGCCATCACATGACTCCGTAGCGACCAATGACCAATGATGAAACAGAATTGAGTTTTATACGTAATAGATGCATAATACATAATGAAAGGAAATGGCAATATATTTTTTATTTTCTCATTAGAAAGAACTTTTAAGACTATATATAATACTCTTTTACCGTTTTTTCATATCTTACTTACTTCTACAAATATTTTGATCGAAAGGAATGAAAAGTCCGCCATCTTCAATTTTTGTAGATATGTATGTCACATCACAACAGGGGTCACGCAATATTTATATCTAGACAACCACTAATCGGGTTAGGCGACCGTAGTTACTAAAACATGGAACGACCCACAACGACCCCACTACGACCCACAACGACCCCACAACGACCCCACTACAACCCCACAACGACCCACAACGACCCACAACGATCCACTACGACCCCACAACGACCCACAACGATCCACAACGACCCACTACGACCCCACGACCCACTATGACCCAACAACGACCCACAACGACCCACAATGACCACACAATGACCCCACAATGATCCACAACGACCCACAACGACCCCACAAAGACCCCACAACGACCCACTACGACCCACAACGACCCCACAACGATCCCAAAATTACTTTCAGTTGCAATTTTGCATGACAATAAACAATATAAGTTATTGTTTGTGGATACACCACGTATTTTATTTTTACATGTGATCAAAATTGGCGGGAAATGCAAGACTTCCACTTGCGCATGCAGAGATTGTTGTTGGATTGTTGTGAACTTGTGGATTGTTGTGGCTGGTGTTTTGGTCGTCGTGGCTCGTTGTGGGGTCGTAGTGGGTCGTTGTGGATCGTTGTGGGTCGTTGTGGGGTCGTTGTGGGGTCGTAGTGGGTCGTTGTGGATCGTTGTGGGTCGTTGTGGGGTCGTTGTGGGGTTGTAGTGGGTCGTTGTGGAATCGTTGTGGGGTCGTTGTGGCTCGTTGTGGATCGTTGTGGGTCGTTGTGGATCGTTGTGGATCGTTGTGGGGTTGTAGTGGGTCGTAGTGGGTCGTTGTGGATCGTTGTGGGGTCGTTGTGGCTCGTTGTGGATCGTTGTGGCTCGTTCCATGTTTTAGTAACTACGGTTAGGCGACACAAGTGTGCACTTCCACAGGTGCACCGTACGCAACGCACAACAAAAATGACGAAATATCTAAAAATAGCCGCCATTCGTAGCAGGTCGGAGCGAGCGATGTGTTTACATGTATTTTGTTGTATTTACAGTATAAATATTATCAAATGGAGCGGTTTTAACTTTGTATAAAGTGTGAAAGGACAAAGTCTGAAAAGCAAAGCTGTGTCATTGTCAATAGACAGATAAGTTTAAACTATCCTGATTCTTCGTTCTCTTAGTTTTCTTTTATTAATAAATAAAATAAAAATATAAGACTCTTCTGTTTTTAAGTCTTTCTTGTTACCGCGAACGTAACAATTGGGGGCTCAGGCGAGAAACTGACAACGGGAAAGCAACAACGGAAGAAACATAATTGGATATTATAATCTCAAGGGGGAATCCACTCTCTCGGATGAGAGCGGTTGCTTTTGTTGTCAGTCTGATGATTGTCCTTTTGGTGTTATATTATTGCTGGATCTGTTTCCAGTTTTAACGTCATGCAGTTCACGATCAAATTTGTCGACTTTGCCAGAGGATGAAGTACAAGAGTGCAACGCTGAAGGTTCACTACGTCTTCGTCAAAAGGTTTCTGCTAAGATTGTTCCTAACGTCTACTCAGTGATGCCTAACAGTGGGGAAAGATTTTGTATTGTTGATCACATGTTTGTGGTTTGCTAGTGGTTTGATACAGTGGTTTTTACACTGGTTTGTTGTTACAGTGGTTTGTTGCCCTGTTTTGTTACAAAGTTGTAATAATTTGATAAATCGCCCGTAAGTTAAAGTAATAATTATTATTGAAGTATAAAATGTTGTTTAAATTTAAGATTAAAAAGGGAGTGTGTAATTTATAATATTTTGAAGATGTCGTTCTTCTGTTGTTGAATCTTCCCTATTCTGTTATTCTGTTGCTAGAGTTTAAGGACGCTATTCTTGCTGTATCGAGTTTTCTCAAATTTCATTCTTTGTAGAGTATTCTAGAGTATAATTATAACATTTAAAGAACATTTGATATGGATATAATGGAAGTTACGAACAGTTAGTTGGACGAAAGTTCTAGCAAACTTTCTTTTTTCAAGAGGGGGAGTGTGACGTGAAGCCAGTCACGTCATAAACATTCTTAATTTAAGACATTGCGTAATTATGCTAACTCATGCTTTTGCTATATTTATCGTTTACGTAGTAGTATTTAAAAATAGTATTTATGTAATGTTCTATAAATATCTACAACGTCATCCCTTGGGTATTTAAGAAGCCACGATTGCAACTTAGTTTAAGGCCATATAAAAAAAAATAGTTGGTTAGCGTCCTTAGCTTTTGCCAAAAAGTGGGCGGGCGGGCGCTTTTTTTTTTAATTTTTACCAATTTTTAACGCCTTGGTTTTACTCACTGTTAGGTCCGAAACTGGATTTTCTTGCGCAGTACAGATATTTTTTTATATATTTCAAAAATAATTCATAGCGTCATTTTCGCACGCAATTTCGCAAATTATTAACACAATTGACTACAGTCAACAGAAATACTACATATATTAGAGCCCGTTGATCAATAAAAGTCGGGGTTTTTTTAAATAAAAAATTTAAAAAAATCCTGAGCGGGGCCTTTTTTGTGGGCGGGCGGGGACGCTAACCAACTATTTTTTTTTATGTGGCCTTAGATCACCCCGAGTGTCCCTATATGTCGTGTGTCGTGGGTTAAAAGTCGTGTGTCGTGAGTAAAGTCGTGGGTCATAAAATGTGCTAAAAACGCATTTTTTCACGAAAATATTATTTTTACTTTTAATATTTTTTTTTGTACTTTTTCCTTTTATGCGCTACATAAATACAGGAAAATTTAACGCAACAAAACTCCAGTATTAAAATAAAATACATGCTGTCTCTTGCTGTTATCTGTAGTATAACAAGTAAATGTTTCCGTTTCGTATAGTCTAATAGTAATAAGTCTATTGATGTATCAGTTTGATGATAAAATGTCTTAAGTTATAGGATATAGGTTTATTAGCTTTGGAAGTGTTATAGTCCTATCACGAACGTCGCGAATAACTATGTCGATTGCACATGTCTAATACAAACATATAGCCTGCGAACAGGCTCTCTTTGAACTCTCTTTGAAATAACAAACATATTGAGCTATAAATTCACAAAATTCTACGCTGTAATTAATAAGTGGCTAATTCGTGGCCCTTATTAAAGATAGACACTGAACATTTCATGTGTATGTGGCTTTAGGAAATATTCCATAAATTGCTACGATTTGGGATGATTTCCCGATTGAAAACCGAATGATTTGTGCGATGTTGGGCCACAAGCGGCCCAATCTCAGAATGAATGATCAGGTGTTGCGGGTTTTTAACGGTTTTTATAAACAAATTTTAAATAGTCAACCAAAACTATTCTAAAAACATTCTCAAATTGGTCAAATAAATACATTTTAACAATAAAATATAGTTGACATGATAGTATAATACCTTTGCATTCTTTTAATTAATCCATGAGCTCATTATATCAAAAGGTGAAAAGATGTAATCGAATTTGTTTTGGCGTACGAGAAGTTTTAGCGGAGATATTTGACTTTGAAGGCGATGCGGTCGTGCCGGCAGTGATTAGCCTTTTACTGTTATATTATATATAGATGAGCACACACAATGTAGGCCACAGAAAATGTTACATCAACCGCTCTAAATGAGCTCATGGATTGATTAAAAGAATGCAAAGGTATTATACTATCATGTCAACTATATTTTATTGTTAAAATGTATTTATTTGACCAATTTGAGAATGTTTTTAGAATAGTTTTGGTTGACTATTTAAAATTTGTTTATAAAAACCGTTAAAAACCCGCAACACCTGATCATTCATTCTGAGATTGGGCCGCCTGTGGTTGGGCGATTTGCCAACAAAGCGCGCTACCGCTGTTATTACACTGGCCTGTAAGGCCAAGTGTCTTAAATCCCCCTTTTTCTGTTTTTTTCGTGGTCGAGAAATCGAGTTTGCGTTAGCTCATCGCAGGCTCAGGGTGCAACGATTAAGCCAAAATGCCATCGATTCCCTCGGTTCCATGATTTAGATAGTATAGTAATAAGCTCGTATATATGTACGTAATAGTCGACTCATGCCATGCTTGTGGTACATTTTTCGTTTATTAGCCTATACACTTGTACGCACGCGCACAATTCCGAACTGCAATGGCGGCTTTTCACAGAGTGCAGATCAAACTATATTTTACACAGTTTCGTTGAATTTTCAAAGAATTGTGCCGGTTTCCTATGTATTTTACGTTGTGTCGTACTCTGGACTTTCTTGCGTGTTGAATTAATGTGTTTTTCTTTGTGTAATGACTCGAAAACCACAAAATATAATATTTAGTACTCCACGAAAATAAAAAGCTTTGTGGTAGCTATACTAAAGATAAAGCGTGCGTTCAAAATACCAACAAGAACAGGAACCATTATTGTATCATTTGTATGGTTCTCATTTGCTAGACTTGCCACAAGTCGACCTCGAAGAAACGCATTTCGTTCGAGGTCGACTTGTGGCAAGTCTACTCATTTACAATAACATTAGTTCGACGCGAATTTTAATACAAGTATGGTATCATATTTCATAATACAACAAACAATGTAAACTAGCCATACATTTTGCCGAACATAACTTCGGCCCATTTGGACATATTTTTTTCGTGATAATGTTATTGGAACCAGAATCGAAAACACTATTTATAGTGTTATTTTCAAGCTTGTGTCTTGAGATTTTCATCTTTTATTTCGGTATTTACAGAATATTTATATTTTTAGCGCGGCCCATGGAACGCACATGAAAACAACGCGCTGTTAGGAAAAACCGGAAATCGATTCTGTAGGTCGGCATGATTTGCACGTGCATCATTACGCCTCCCGAAAAGGTCTTTTATTTTTTTTAAAAGTCCATAAAATTTGCTTGCGGTTTAAGATTTGTATTGCTGTCTTTTGCACCATAGCACGTATCTCGTTATTTTCAGGCCAGTGTGAACGCCTGAGCAGGCGTCTTGTTTTGACAGAATATGATAGGCCTACCTCTACACTTTTCAGCCGTAATACATATAAATGCGCGCATTGTAAATTTGTAATTAAACATATCGTTTAATTTAGCTTCAAAAACTTGATAAAAAACATGTTATTCGTGTTGGTTCCGACCGCAATGGTGTGATCGTTGCCAGAGCACATGCAAAGCCGCTTTAACGGGAAATCTTGCTTATTTCAGTGGGTTGGGATAAAACGCGGAACCGGAATGCGGATTCCGGAAGCGGATTCCGGATGCGGATTCCGCATTTGAGGATAAAACGCGGATTCCGGAAGCGGATTCCGCAAATGAGGATAAAACACGAAATTGCGTAAAAAAGAACGAGAAGAAGAATAGCGTATAAAAAACTTAAATTATTACTTTTTAAGGTCACAACCACTAAAAAGCGATTGGCTAAAGTTACCTAGTTACTCTAGGCCTAACTGTTGAAGTCATACATGCATGCATTAGTGTTGGGAAGAGGGGGGGACTGTGACTTTTTGGACTATTTCTTAAAATTATGGAGGGAGGTGGAAAATCGTATTTATCAAGAGCGTCTTCATTTTTATCTAAGTTTCTTTGTTAATGCTAGTAATATTCGGGCTTTGATGGCACAGGCGTCAGAGGAAGTGCCTTTCACCTCTGAGATTGTGGGTTCGATTCTCGCTACGGATTCGATGTGAAAGAGTCTGTCAATGCTCCGCCAAAACTCGTGAGTTTTCTCCGGGTGCAAATAGAGCAGAAATCAATTCAAAGTAGCTAAAACTAGGAGTTACTATCGCAAGGAAAATGCTGCCGATATGTACATGTAGGATGTGCTACAAAAAGAGCGTTTTTCACTGTATGTATGATTTATTGTCTTACACATTGTCGTTCCTCAGTTACCTTCGTACAATTATATCTTACATCTAATCTTATGAAAAGTATATTTTAATATACTTAACAGTGCGACTTTGATAGTTGACACATAATATAAATGATAAAATGTGAATATTATTGAATGATTTTGTCACTCGTACAACTTTTAATTTGGCTATTCAAACAATTGATTTAAAATAGTTGAATTTATACTTACTGGGATGTTACTGCTTATTGGGATGTTGAAATTATGTTTGTTTTAAATACATTTAATTGATATTCCATAAATTCATTTTGTATGATTTCATTGACCTTGACGTTGTTCAAAATCATTTTGTATTATATTGAAACTGTATGTCTATGACCTATGTTATGTACTATATTAACCCATTGAGTCGCATTGCACCCTGATGCACCCTACTTTGAACAGTATTTTACTCTGTCTAACGCCAGACGATTTTACTCGTCAAGGGGAGAGTGCTGGCACTTAATGGGTTAACTGATCTATCTGCATGCCCATGTGTCTAGTTAACCCATTGGGTCGCATTGCAACCTGTCTAACGCCAGAGTATTTTACTCTGTCTAACGCCAGACGATTTTACTCGTCAAGGGGAGAGCGCTGGCGCTTAATGGGTTAACACGCCCAAAATCTGTACTAAAACTGCTAATTCTGTTTTGTGATTGGCACAGTTTAATCAAAGAATCCTCCCGTTGCACCAGAGCCTTCACGATATTTCAATTTATTATTAACTGAAGGCTCTGGAATCCAGGATAGCTTGCCATTGAATACAGTGCAATGCTTATATTTCTGAATGAATAAGATCATACTCAGAACAGTCAGAACTGCAAAACTATATTGTTAGAAAGAAGTTGAAGTTGTGAGCATTATTGTGGTAACACAGCCATATGTATATATCAATGTATGTCAGTAGAATCACGTTTATAGGCTTTATATATAACTGAGGCTTATACAAGTCATATCTTATACAAAAGTCAGTTGATATGCTATATTACATGTAATTGCTGATAAGTCCATATATGCAGACAACAATCCACACTGGGTAGCTCTAGGAATCTTGTTAAGCCTGATTTAACAACATCCCGCGTTTGTTTTTAAACTATAAACATTTAGAAATAGAACGTACCGAACACTATTATATACTCACCGCCTTTGGCTTTGCACATATTAAGTGACATAACAAACAAATAAACTAAAAGTTCATTTGCTTCTTGTATCAGCATAAAGGCATTAATCATT